GGAACATACTGGTTCCAGTAGGGCCCGGTGGGGGGAATGTACCCAGTAAGGCCCCTGTAGGGGGAAGGGGCTGGGCCTAGTAGGGGGAATGTACTGGTCCCAGTAGGGCCCTGGTGGGGAGAACGGGCTGGTCCCAGTAGGGCCCTGGTGGGGGGAATGGGCTGGGCCCAGTAGGAGGAACATACTGGTTCCAGTAGGGCCCGGTGTGGGGAAGGGGCTAGTCCCAGTAGGGGGAACGTACTGGTTGCAGTAAGGCTCTGGTGGGGCGAAGGGGTTTGGCCCAGTAGGGGGAATGTACTGGTTCCAGTAGGGCCCCAGTGGGAGAAATGGGCTGGGCCCAGAAAGGGTAATGTACTGGTTCCAGTAGGGCCCGGTAGGGGGAATGTACTGGGCCCAGTAGGGCCCTGGTGGGGGGAATGGGCTGGGCCCAGTAGGGGGAACATACTGGTTCCAGTAGGGCCCGGTGGGGGGAATGTACTGGTTCCAGTAGGGCCCCAGTGCAGGGAATGTACTGGTCCCAGTAGGGCCCTGATGGAGTCAGCCACACTGGTCCCAGTAAGGCCTCAGTAGGGGGGAATGTACTGGTCCTAGTAAAGCCCTACTGGGGGGAACCTGCTGGTCCCAGCAAGGCCCCAGTGGGTGGAATGCACTGGTGCCAGTAGGGCCCTGGTGGAGTCACCCACGCTGGTCCCAGTAAGGCACCAGTGTGGGGAACGGGCTGGGCCCAGTAGGGGGATTATACTGGTCACAGTAAGGTGCCAGTGGGGAGCACAGGCAGGTCCCAGTAAGACCCAAGTAGGGGGAACATACTAGTCCCAGTTGGGCCACAGTGGGGAGAATATACTGGTCCCAGTAAGGCCCCAGTGGTGGGCAACGGACTGGTCCCAGTAGGGCCGCGGTGGGGTCATGCACACACTGGTCTCATTAAGGCCTCAGTGGGGAGAACATACTGGTCCCAGTAGGGCCCCAGCGGGGAGCATGAGCAGGTCCCAGTATGGCCCAGTGCGGGGCACAGGCTGGTCCCAGTAATGCCTTGGTGAGGGCAATGGGATGGTCCCAGTAGGGGGAACATAGTGGTCCCAGTAAGGCTACAGTGTTAGAAATGTACTGGTCCCAGTAGGGCGCCAGTGGGGTGGATGGGCAGGTCCCACTATGACCCAGTGCGGGGCACAGACTGTTCCCAGTAATGCTCTAGTTGGGGGAACGGACTGGTCCCAGTAGGGTGCCAGTGGGGAGCACGGGCAGGTCCCAGCATGGCCCAGTGTGGGGCACAGACTGGTTCCAGTAGCACCCCAGTGGGGAGCATGGGCAGGTCCCAGTATGGCCCAGTGCAGGACACAGGCTGGTCCCGATAGAGCCCCAGTGGGGGGCACGGGCAGGTCCCGGTATGGCCCAGTATGGCAGGACATAGAATGGTCCCAGTAATGCCCTGGTGGGGGGAATGGGGTGGTGCCAGTAGGGGGATTGTACTGGTCCCAGTAAGGCCACAGTGTTAGAAATATACTGGTCCCAGTGGGGAGCATGGGCAGGTCCCAGTATGGCCCAGTGCGGAGCACAGACTGGTCCTAGTGTGGGGGCACATGGCGGGTGGGGAGCTCTCATCCCAGTGCCGCTCTGTGAGAGCAGAGGGCCGCTGGTCCCGGTATGACCCTACTGGGAATACAGGGAGGGGTGGGAGGAAAATGGCGCTGGTCGCAGTTGGTGGAGCCTAGTGGGGAGAGGGAACTGGTCCCAGTTGCGTGTCTGTGTGTCGTCCCCCCCCCAGACATCAACGAGCTGAACCTGCCCAAGACCTGCGAGATCGACTTCTCCGACCAGGACGATCTGCTGCACTTCCGCCTCCTCATCTGCCCCGACGAGGTGACGTGTCCCCCGTCTTGTCCCCCTCCCTGGCCCCTCCCCTGTCACCCCCCCTC